TCACGCACGTGATTCACGTAATGAACTTTTCAGATTATGCCAGGGAGTAGTCTGTTTTCAACGAGAATTTAATTCGGCCGCCACCATTTTTGCCACGATTTTTCAATATTTAATGTCAATTATCTCGTCGCATATATAAGCAATACATAAATTGAGATTTTATTTCAAATAAGATTTTACCCGGCAAGACAAATCTCTCTCGTTGAATACGCAATTGAATATCGAGAAAATAATTTTGTATAGATTTCGCGGCGCGCACCTCGCTTCTATTCTCGTTCATCATTTAGATTACATTAATACTACGCGTTTCCCCGGTGGAGCTGAAAATTGTCGGCCGTATCGTTGGATAATATCGTGTATTATGCGCGATATTCGAGTAATAAGATAATATGGGATAATATTAATAAAAAATCGATTGGAGAATAATTGCATTTAACTGCATCATCTTCGTATACACGCAGTTTTTTATTTTATTTTATTCCGATCATAGAGCGAAGCTGGGAATACATTTAATAATTCAATTAAAAATAAATATACAATGTCTATCGAGAGAGCAAATAAAGATTGTTGATTTTTATTATGCGGTAATCGACAATTTTCTGTATAACGCAAAGCAAATATCGAATTGTGTGAAATTTATATGGGCGAAAATTGTATAATATAATATTACACAATCATATAAATTTATAGCATGTTTTATGGTAAATGAATAATGCAAGATTATCTTTATCTGATACGTTAGTTTAAAAATGTAATAAGAATAAAGATTAAAAATTTAATCTTTATTCTTCTATATTTATAGTTGGAAGATATTCATTGCAAGTGTCTAATGTCTTCTATCTTTGCCTAATGAGTGGTGCAATAATTATAGATAATGGATACGAAGCCGTAATTTGTGTCTTGTTAACGTCTCTGCTTACATCCAAAGGGTTGTAATCGGATATAAGATAATCTGACTATATACAGGCTTCTTTTCCTTCCAATCACACTTTTCGTCGAACGTCTTCGTTCACGTGGTCATCAAATGAATCCGAGAGCAATGCAAATCTTTGATTTAGCAAATCATTTGAATTAATTTTGCATTATGATTAATCGATCTCAATTTAATCGAGGGAGCGCTTCGGCAAAAATGAGTTGTATAAGCTTTTTGAAAAGTAGACCATAGCATCGCAGAAAATCCCTCGTTATAATGCTGTTCATTTTGAATATCATGCTTTCATGTAATAAATCTTTCGACACAAACATTAAGATGATTTCTTCCGCAGTACACACATACAAAGGAGCATGAATTTATCACATAACTAGCCCTGACGAGCCACGATCGATAACCGACGATGCTTTTATTTGCATCTGAGATTAAGTTACCGAACTATTGGTTCACAGAAAAGTTGCTCTCGATTGCGTTTTACCTTCTCTTTAACGACGCACGAATTTTCATCGTCATTCGATTCGTCCGTCATTCCTCAATTTTGTAGAAGAAATTCCATTCTGCTTGCCCTTTGTCATCTGCATAAAACGCGAGAAAAATGCAGTCCGATATTTGATCGCGAGAATGTGGATTTTCGCTTTTCCTCTCGCGATCTCGTTATCTCTTACGATATGATATCTATTCACATTTTTTTATCTATATCTGGTCAAGTCACGCCAAACAGGATATGTTGCAAATAGTTATAGTTTAAGAAAATTAATTTTGCAATTATTTTATTTTTTATACAATATTATCGTCATTTATTTATTTTTTATACAATATTATTGCCACTTATTTATTTTTCATACATATATGTTGGAGATAATTTTCTATAATATCGCGAAAAATTTATTAATGCAACAAAGTATAGATCGATGATCTGTCATCACGTTGCCGTATATTTTAACCAACAATCACACGTTGCGACATTGTCAATCCGCATTTGCGCGGATACGGCGTATTTACGATGTCACTGGATGAGAAATCGAACGGAACTATGTATCCCGATACATAGTCTTAGAGACCCAATTATACGTGTGACGATCAACACGGCCGCTGTAACTGCGCGATTACGTGGTAGAATATGGTACCTGGTGCTGTGAGCCAAGATAGTGGACGCGCTCTGTGAATTTATCGACAGGTCAGGCACGATGAATATCGGCATCCAATAATGGACCGGCGTCGCTGTTTGCGGCCCAAAGTGATGGAAAAAAGAAATTCAAGCTTGTGTATGTATACGTGAAGCGTGATCCGTCCGAGACTCTCGATCGAACGCCAATATTTTGCGCCGATATAATGAGAAAATTGCCATTAATCGAACAAACTGAAAAAGAGCGCCCTTTATCTTCTTTCCTCCGTGATAATATGCGGATGATATTAACGCGAGCTTGTTCTCCGCGTTACTGTTCTTCGATAGAGCACGCAGTTTTTCCGACAGTGTCGGGTAACGTTCCTCCATATTACCACGTGCTATCACGTCAAGTTTTGCGCAATTTTGCGAACCATGTCAGCACGCGAGCTGTGCTTTATCGCGAGTCACGCGCAATTAACGTATAATTCACGATGCAGTTTTCCAATTTTACTCGCGAGAAAGTTGCACGGCGGTGCAAACTCGCGTAAAAATGCCGCTCAAAGCCCGAACAATTTGCATCGTAATTTGACAGTCGCGGCGGAACATTCGCCTCATCCAACTGACTAAATCATTCGGTTACCGAAGTGATAGTGACTTGTATTAAATTGTCGTTGCAATAGGCAAAAAAAGGATATCGATAAAAATGTAAAGAAAGGCAAATTACTCATAAATCATTAAATATATCTTATTTATTTATAATTTTTGTGTATACGCGTTAAATATATATATTATATATATATTTTAAAATATATCATTCAGCTTCTTTCACGAATCACTCAATTATGAAGTATTTATTTTTTAATGATAGAATTATTTAATGAGATATTTATACTATGTTATCACAGTATGATTATTGCGACAGAGAATTTATTAGTGATGCAAGAATTGATAACATCGCAAAACAGCTGATTTGATTTGGAAAAATCACATTGTATCTGATTGCGTCCGATATCCGATATATGCCGCGGGATAAACTCCTTTCGGGACGCTGGCGGTAGCGTGGATTTATTCATCCTGTTCGACTACTCGCTTGATTATCGGAACAAATCGAGTAATTTCCGTCGTTCTCGTGTAGATGTATTTGCCAAGAATATTTGTACGTCAAATAATTTATCAAAGCCCTAAATAAATGCCTACATCTATTTATCTTATTTGTCTAATTATTCAAGTGATATTTGAATAGCGATGGTGCTTCTCGAAACACACACACATCACGTACTTAAGACTAATAAACGAAACATCACAAACAAATGTCTGGAACATTTACAACTTAATAGCAAATCAAATTCTCGTGTAGATGTATTTGCCAAGAATATTTGTACGTCAAATAATTTATCAAAGCCCTAAATAAATGCCTACATCTATTTATCTTATTTGTCTAATTATTTAAGTGATATTTGGATAGCGATGGTGCTTCTCGAAACATCACGTACTTAAGGCTAATAAACGAAACATCACAAACAAATGTCTGGAACATTTACAACTTAATAGCAAATCAAATTAGATTCTCAAAACACATGTTTTGGGAGATGTATAAACGAAGTATTTATTAAATTTTCTTATTTATATTTCCGGTTATATGTCACAAAATTCATCAGCGTCCTCAAAATATTAAATTTTTTTTTTTTTTAGATCATTTTGTATCGATGCAGATTAATGATATCAATTTGTACAAATATTTTGATTTGATTAGTTAGGTTTATCGATTAGTTAAAATTCCGGGAAAAATGAGATGTACGGATAAACATTTTTTTAATAAGATTTTCTCTCTGAATACAATTATAATAATGTCGCTATTGCTCTGACGCTCCGCTATATATTTACGATTGATATTAGACAATCGTTAAGAACGGAATAGTAGTTTCTAATTTATCTCAAGAAGGGACGATAACAAGGGTAAGTGACAAACGACTGTTTACGGAAATCGCTTTCTTTGAAATCGTTACAGTGTGGCAATACTTTCGAGCTACACCGATGGAAGACTATCAAGAAACTCGGGGGAGGCACAACTCGTAACTGCAGTTCGATTAAATTGTTCCAGCACCTTCCGTACCTCGTTCCGGCTTGCGCTTGTCACCCTTTACCTCGATTCTCTTTAACCCCTTTGCTGTTTCTCCTTATGTTTTTTTGCCTTGCTCATCTTCTCTCTTTCGCTTTCTCCTCTCTCTCTCCTTCTTTATCTTTCATTGTGCTATATATATATACCCTACCTGTGTTCTCCGATATTGCAAGTGAGTTCAACATCAATGATTGTTAAACTTGCTCCGGCCGGCCCTCGAAAAGTTTCGCGCTAGGCGATGTATACGGTGTCGCATTCTTTGGTCTTAACGATCAAACTTATCCCAGGCAACGCTTCGACAACTATGCGAGAGAGATGACGAGAGAGAGAGAGAGAGAGAGAGAGAGAGAGAGAGAGAGCTTACATTGCCGATTGCTGGGTTCTCGAACTGTTGTAATGGCGTTGTTCATTTCAAGCGATCGGCAAAAACGTTTCCAGCTGTTAAAATGCCGAGAGATAGTCAATTACACGGATATCTATTTATAACCTGATTCCGGCATTAATTATTTCATTTTTTAAGATTGGTATTCTTAATTTACATTGATTGATTGTACTCAATTTATTTACTGCGACTAATGCCTGCATCAATTGCGGAGTATAACTCCATGAGAAAAAAATATCACTAAAAATAATATTTCTAAAATATGAAAATGTTTACAAATTTTTTATTTATTATTTATTATTTATTTCGTATTTATTTTACATATAACAAGATGCTTTATTCAAATGCACTTTTTAAATATATGATATCAATATATAGCCGTTTATAATTTTCTATTTAATGATTATTTATTCAGATGATAATTAGATTCTCGTTTGAAATAAATAAAGTAACATTATTCATGTGTTGCACAAATGTAGTGGTACACTGCAAGAAAATCGTCATTCTAAAGAATTACATAACGTGTGTGTAAAGTACTATGTGTTATATAAGAGCTCTTTTAGATGTCGTGTCATTATGTACTTGATACAAGCAAGATTTCCAGAGATTAGATTAACTACTTTAATCATTATGACCAGTTTAACCAATAACCTTGTTCCATAAATGTATATATGGTACGAATACAAAGATAAAATTCTGTCACATCATGTGGTTACGGCAGCAGATTAATAAACAGTTTTTACGGTTTATCAGTGCTAAAAAGTACAACGCATTAAAGATGTAAATTTATAATCAAGATAAAACTTTTGATCATATATGTACGTATATTAATCTTACATTTAAATCATTTACTTAGACAGTGGTTTTTTCGTTCTTCTAGAAGCATGAATTTTAATAAATGAAGAATAGACTTATAAACTAATGTTATGTATTGATATGGAAAAGATTTGTAGGAATAATCCTATATTGTTAGCATATAAATTATATATTTATTATTCATTATTTATTATTATTTTGTTTTTCATTAGTATACATTAGTTTTCTCGAAACATTTCTAGAATACTGGAATTTTATTGAGCAATATTGCGTAATAGCGCAAAGTATAAATGACTCATCAAATCTCGTATTTGCACAATCACACTTGTAGAATTTTTTTCTTATAATAAAAATATTATGCAACTCTCTACAATGTTATCATAAAAATTTCATGATAAATCTGATAACGTATAAAATGAATTTTCTCTTCACAAATGAATTTCTCTCTATTACATGTATATATGTATACATCTATATTTTTTAGTTTTAACAAAAAATATTTTTTTAAAATCTGAATAGAAATGGAAAGAGAGAGAGAGTATTTACACATATGTATATAGAAGCAGTATTACGCGAGTTATTACGAATAAATTCACCTTATGATACTGTAACTTGTGATATGTTGTTTCTCTGTCGCGTGCTTAATACTTTTCTATATTACGGAAATACTTTATTATTGAAGGAAATTCGACTGTACGCGAACCTGAGATAATGCGCGGGCATAAGTGAATTTTGTGATAAACGCCGCAGCTAGCTTGGAAAAATATATGGAAATGACAAAGTTATTCTCTAGCGGTTATGCGGGGCGCTTCTTTATTTGAAAGGCAGATCCGGACTTGTGCAGGCGAAAGAATAATTTCACCCCCAATGTGTACCGGAGTATCCCCGTAATACCGCACCTATTTTTAGTGTCGCATGTATATATATATATATATATGTATAAACGGACTCCGATTTTAATCCGGTTTTTATATCCACGCTGTCTCATTTCCGCGATATTTACGCATATACTCGTTTTGCAAAATTCACGAACTGTACGCAACAATTTTCAATCGATTCATTTTACAATCTATCTGATAAAAGTTACGCTCAAGTGCGTAGAAATAATTATTTAAAATTTTCTGATCTAATTAAGATCAATTGATAATGAAATTTAAATACTTTTTTTTATAATTGCGATCTAAAAATTATCTAAATTATTCATTTAAATTATTAATTATTTAAATTACGGCACATGATTTTATAAAATAATATTAATATAGTCTCTATTTATCTTTGTGTATGCTTGTAACCTATAGTTCTTTTATACTTATATTATGTATGCTCCTGTGATGCACAATTAATTATTTAAAAATGTTTCGCATACATCATACCCACTAATAGATATAGATATATACATTATTATAAAAAATTATAAAAAACACATTTATTAGATATGTTCCAAAAAACCAAACTCTCTAAACTCCAATAACATATCAGCTAATATTTTGGATACTTTTTCTCCGCCGGCTTGCTTGCAATCCTTTATATGTTTGGTTATTATGTCCATAAATCCCATTTCTTCATGTTGATATGTTTTCATATCGATATATCCCATCAAATTCGCTAAAAAGTAGGATGCGATAACGAAACCGAAGAGGACGCCTCTCTTATAATCCTCCAGCAAAGCATCATACGAATATTTCTCGATGTCCTGTATGCCAGCGTCCAGCAAATATTTCTTCAGCGTGTCGTGATAGGCTCGTATGATCTCGAAAAACTTATCCTTTCTAATCTCATTCGAACAACCGAGACAGAAAAACGTGGAAAGATCGACGACGGGAGTCGAGTATCTCAAAAGCGCGAAGTCGATCAGCATCGCTCGTGGCTGTCCGTCATCTTCCATCTTAAAAAGATTATTGCTCAATGTAAAATCACCGTGACACAGCGTAGCCAAAGGTTCCATTGGCTTTGCTATTTTCGTCATTATTGTGTCGAACGCATTAGCGAGTAAAGCTTCCATTTTATCACAAAAGACCGCGTCGTATCCTTGATTACGAAGATAATCCACTGCCCGGGTCGCGATAGTGTTGATAAAAATTCTTGACATGTCATCCATTGGCGTGTTGTACCTAGTTTCTTGAAGTTGCGCTACGATATCGAAGAACTTTCCTCGTTGCTGCTCCTTCATGACGTAACCTTTGCCGTGGAATCGTGCTATTTCACGCATTGCCGCCAAGATGTATTCCAGAGAAGCGTTGTATACATACGGACAAGGACAATATCCTCGTTTGCTGACATTCTCCAAGGCGATCACCGAATCGTTAGGCGGCCGTTCCTCGGTGTAAAAGCATCTCGGATAGTTCTCGTCGGGCCTGGCGTAAATCCGATAGAATAAAATCTCGTTGTGGAACTGAGGATCGATGAGAACCATCTGTCTGTGTACTTCCATCTGCGTGGGTCTCTTTAATACTATGAATACTTTCTCGCTCTGGCCTTCCTTCGTTCTATTTTTAAATTTTACGCGCACATAATGTAACGCGGACATAAAAACATCGTTGATTTCCGATAGCTCGTATTGAGCTTCCTCGACGTTCGATCCGAGATTTTCGATAACTTTCGGCATCACTTCTTTGATCCATCTTCGAAAATCTTCGATACAAGACATTTTATCTCTACACTCTCTACAACTTGTATACAATAATCGTCGTGTCCGACTATGGATGCGATATTGAACGAGCAACACAGAGCGAGCTTGCTATCTAGATTATGACTTGAATAATACTGTGATGCCGTTTTTATGATGACATCTCCCAGGCAGAATGCGACTTTAGCTAATGCCATCTCGTGTAACGAAGATGCATGACTGCAACGGAAAAGTGGGGGATTTAATGAATTGCGATGCTGCATTACCAGCTAGGTCGTCTGTCAACACGATGTACAATTACGCGCTGAAACATTGCTCGTTATTATCTGATAACCATGTATCTAGGACATGGCAATAACCGCAATTAATCGATTATCAAAATATTGCGCGAGAAAGAAAAAAGTCAATTACAGCGTGGAAAATCATATCAGTAATTGTAACGCGGTTTACAAAATCGTTGATTACCGAACGCGTTGCTTTACATTTTTGGTTGATTAGAAATACAATATTTTATACTTTTATTTTAGACAGGAAATACGATAATACGGTTTTTCGAAAATTCAGAATAACTTTTTCTTTTGCGACGAATAATCAATCGGGATTAGTACACGAGTATTTCTATACGAAATTAGTAATTAAATTATAATATGTATTGGATATTTTACATCGATATACAATTTGCGAAAAATGAGATAATTAATATAATTGTATTATAATTAAACTGTATTATAAGAGAGTTATTTATAACTTAATTATATAATATAAATAACTTAATTATTATTTTTGCGTTATTATAAATAACGAGAAAAATAATTAATAATGTATTATAAAATAATATTGAAAAGTTTACAGTTGCCATATACACACATACAAATATACATAAAATTCAATGATCAAATATTCTGAAATAAACTTTGCAATTATCTTCGTAAAGAATTCGTTAAATCATTTTCTATTAAGAATTAGTATTTAATGTTATTAGTATTTAACCTAACGTATCATATTTAGTGATAATGTTCTAGATAGATATCTTTAATATTATTTAGGACGTTATCGTGATATTATTATGTGTGTTTAGTATGCAGTTACTAGAATAAATTTTACAGCAAATTTTAAAAAAATATTTTTAAGTAATAATACGCGGTCAAATTATTATTTAATTGCAAAAAGCATTACTTTTCTTGTTTCAATAAATCAGATTATGTGTATTATGTCAAATTGCTTTTCTCTATTTCTGAATGAACTTAGAAATGTCGTGGAGTACTTGAAAACGAAAGAATCTTTTTTTATGCGTTCTTTATTCCGAGGGATTAAACGAGTTCATCTCCGTAGCCGCTCTT